AATAAACCTTCTGTTTTACTGGCTGGCTGACAGTCACGTCTGACTGCGGAGTTGGGGGGCAGGACCCTCTGGCTTCCCCAGGACCCCGCCTGAGCGGACTCGCTGTTGGAAGCACACGGGGGGGGGGGGGGGGGGGCAGAGGAGGCTGAATGCTCCAGGGTCAGACCCGGGAAGGTGGAAGCCGGGTGAGCTGTGTGTCCCGAAGACAGGCTGCTCCCAGAGAGGAGACTTCCCCAGAGTCCTGCCTGGCTTCATGGGGAGCAGTTCTAGAGCATCGCCCGGGGACGCCGGGACACCAGCCCTGAGCTAGGAGCTAGGCAGCCAGGACCTGGGGGGCAGCTCAGGTGGGTGCTAGATCCATCTGCACCCCAGGAGCCTAGGAACTCCCAGGTTGGGGCACTGGCCAGCAGTCTTAGTGGCTGGGAGGGGCCGTGGTGGGGAAGGGGAGCTGTGGGAGGGGGGTACTGTGGGGAAGGGGGTGCCATGGGGAAGGGGCGCCATGGGAGGGGGCACTGTGGGGAAGGGGGGACATCGTGGGGAAGGGGAGCTGTGGGAGGGGGGCGCCGTGGTGCTGCTATGGGCGGGGGGGCGGGCGGGGGCGTTGCAAAGCCAGTGCTGGCGGACCCCAAAGCACCACCGCAGGACAGCGGCGCTTCAGGGATGCCTGCTGGTGCCTGCAGTGGGATTCTGCTCATGCCCAGCGCGAGGACAGTCCCACAGCACAAGGAGGGGCGGTGCTGGCCTGGCAGAGGCTGCCCTGCAGCGGGAGGCCGCCAAACGTGGCATCTGTGGGAAGAGGACGCGAGGGAACGCAGGGTCCCGCTGCCCTGGGTCCAAGGCTGGGTGGGGGCAGTTCTAACGCAGCAGAGAGTCACTTACAACGTCTGACACCGGACTCAGGCTGTCCTGACGTGACTGAACTGGGAGCAATCCCACGGGCATCGAGGGGCACCCGTCCTCACCCGCTGGGAATCCCAGCTCGCCCGCCAGGGTTAATAATGGATTCACGGGGCACGTCTGTGATAGAGGGGGGCAAGCCCTGGCTTTGCCAGGTCACACGGGGTAGCAGAAACAGTGTGAAGAGCAAAGCGTTAGCACCCCCAGAGCTCATTAGCATCTCCAGGGCAGAGCCCCACGGACTGAGAGACCAGAACCTCAGTGCCAATGTCCAGCAGGATCCTTGAGCCAGAGACAACAAATGCTGGGGTAAGAGACAGAAGAGCTGAATGCCTGAGGCTGCCAAGAGCCTAAGGCCATAGCTGTGAAAGGGGAACTGCCCTGTGCAGCGCAATTCCAAGGCCCATGGCTCTGGGGGACCCTGCCAACCTGCCCCACGGGGACAGAAGGGCCCAAGCAGATACTCCTCAGCTGCTGGGGTGCCGATGGTGGGGAGAGAGATGGACCCCTGCAGTTGCCAAGGGGAGTGGCATGGGGCCGTGGTGCAGGGATGGAGGGTCTGGGGCTCCCAGTGCTTGCCCCATGGGTGCCCTGAGGGGCTGAGCTCCAGGCTGCCCCCTGCTGGGGCCAGCCCAGAGGAACTGCTCCTCGCCCCACTCCTGAATCCTCCAGGAGTGCACTGGACAGGAGACCCAAGCTGCCATGATTGGCCACGCAGGTCACGTGGGACTGGTGCAGCCCCTGGTTGGGTGTACGGGATTCGCGGGAAGCAGGGATTGCCCGCGATGGCTGCCCCATGTGCCCCATTTCCTGCCCTGCCCCAGAGCTGTGGCTGGGACCCGTGGAGGTGGGAGAGGCCACAGGTTAACATCTCCCTTCCTTTCTGCTCCCCCAGCCCTGCCGGTGCCCCTCAGTCCCGACCTGCAGCCCCTGCTACACCAGCCCTGCGCCCCCTCCCTCACCCAGCGCTCCTCCCCGCTCCCTACAGCACCCCCTGCTGGGAGCAGCCGGGAGCACCTCATCCAGCCAGCTCTCCTACCCCACGTAGGGGCACTCCCGCTGGGAGATGTGGGCAGAGGGATCTCGGTCTCCCTGGCGTGGGCTGTGGGGCAGCTGTTTGTTCCTCTCCCCTCCAGCTCGTCAGGACTAAATCAAGTCCCTCCCCAAAGTGGCCTCCTCTGGGCCCCGCGCCATGCGCCTGCAGGGTCTCTGCCCAGCTTGAGGGGCAAGAGGTGCCAAGCTGTGGTGGGGCAGGCTTTCACAAGCTGAGCCCCCTGGGTGCGCGCTCAGCCCCCCTGACAGCCCCTTGGCCTGCTGGGCATGAATCCCCATGAGCAGAGCCCGGGCAGGGGGCTGACTTGGGAATTAGACTGAGCTGCCAGGATCTGAGCCCACCCCTGGGGCGGGGGGGTGGGGGGAGCAGTACCAGAGCAGGACACCCCTGCGGCGGGGAGGGGGCTGGTCTGGGAGTGACTGGAAAGCAGCCCTGCCAGGGACTTCATGCTCCCCAGCCCAGGAGGCTTTGGCTGCCGGCTCCCCATCAGAGCAATGCCCCGCTCTGCACAGAGCGCGGGGGGCTGAGCCCTTAGCTCCTCATTCCCCCAGCCTGGCTCACCCCGACTCGAGCACTTAACAGCAGCGCCTCCCTCTGGGCCAGGCCAGGACGGGAGCCGCACCCAGCACGGCTGCCCCGCTCCCCACAGCGCCCCCTGCAGGGAGAGGCTCAGACCGCAGTAGCTGGGAGCACCCCCCAGCGCCCCCCGCAGGGTCGTTCACTAACCGCGGGAGGATCTAGGGCGTGGGAGTTGGAGTCCCCTGCCCCTCGGCCGTTCAGTCCGCGTGTCCACCAAGCAGCTTTCCTGGCCCTCATCCCCCCACGGCCGAGCGGCGTCACCACGAGCCCCAGGGCCCTAACAGAGAGCTTCCCCCGTACAGCCTGGGCCGGCCAATCCACAGCAACGGGGCCAGGTCCGGAGCTGGGGCAGGCAAGGAGCAGCAGGCCCCAGGCACCCCGTCATGGCCCGATCCTCAGCACATGGGGAGCTGCTGCTTCCCGGCCGGCGGGGACAGGCCAGGGCAGCGAATGCGGGTACTGAGGAGCGCTGTGGGGCCCTGGGCACAGGGGGCTCTTGGCTCTGTGCCAGTCTGAGCGGCCTGAGCTTTGCAGGGGGGATGCGGGCACCAGCCAGCCAAGACAGAGCGCACCTCCTGCCTATGGCCTGGGTGCCAGCAAGCCCCCCTGCCAGTGCCCCCCAGGGTCCCAGGCCCATCAACCGCTGAGCTGCCCAGAGCACCTGGCAGCTGCCCCTGTCTCAGCGGGGGGAGCTCCAGGCACACACGTGGCCGAGACCTGGGCCTGGCATTTCACTGGGGGACCGGCAGGCTCCATGGGCCGCCCTTGGAGATGGGGGCAGCTGTGGGTGATGTTCCCGGGCCTGGGGCCCCCTGGCTCTGGCATCCTGTTCTTTGCCCAAGGGCTGAACCTCCCCCGCCCAGCTCCAGTGCCTGGGCTCCGCCTGGCCTGCTGCTCCCAGCGGCTGGCAGGGCGGGGAGCCCCCGGCACCCCCAGGGCTGGATGCAGGCACTGGGCCTGCCCCTGCCCCGGAGCTGTGGGCAGAGCCTCACCTACCTGCCCCATCCATTGCCCCAGGATGCTGCCAGCCTGCACCCCTCCACTGGGCTCTGCGCACCCACAGCTGGGGTGGTGCCCAGCCCTGGCTCTGCCAAGCCCCTGCAGCCTTACCCGCACACAGCCCCCCCACCCTTACCCGTGCACAGCGCCCCCCACACCCTTACCCATGTACAGCGCCCCCCCACACCCTTACCTGCGCACAGCGCCCCCCACACCCTTACCCATGTACAGCACCCCCCACACCGTTACCCGCACACAGCGCCCCCCCACACCCTTACCTGCGCACAGCGCCCCCCACACCCTTACCTGCGCACAGCGCCCCCCACACCCTTACCCATGTACAGCACCCCCCACACCGTTACCCGCACACAGCGCCCCCCCACACCCTTACCCGCGCACAGCGCCCCCCACACCCTTACCCATGTACAGCACCCCCATACCGTTACCCGCACACAGCCCCCCCACCCTTACCCGTGCACAGCGCCCCCCACACCCTTACCCGTGTACAGCGCCCCCCCACACCCTTACCTGTGCACAGCGCCCCCCACACCCATACCCATGTACAGCACCCCCCACACCCTTACCCGCACACAGCGCCCCCTGCACCCTTACCCACGCACAGCGCCCCCCGCAGCCTTACCCATGTACAGCGCCCCCCACACCCTTACCCACGTACAGCCCCCCCATACCCTTACCCACGTACAGCGCCCCCCACACCCTTACCTGTGCACAGCGCCCCCCACACCCTTACCCACATACAGCGCCCCCCCACCCTTACCCACGCACAGCGCCCCCACCCTTACCCATGCACAGCGCCCCCCGCAGCCTTACCCACACACAGCGCCCCCCCACCCTTACCCACGCACAGCGCCCCCCACACCCTTACCCATGTACAGCGGCCCCCGCAGCCTTACCCACGCACAGCCCCCCACCCTTACCCATGCACAGCGCCCCCCACACCCTTACCCATGTACAGCGCCCCCCACACCCTTACCCGCGCACAGCCCCCCCACCCTTACCCATGTACAGCGCCCCCGCAGCCTTACCCGCGCACAGCGCCCCCCCACACCCTTACCCGCGCACAGCCCCCCCACCCTTACCCGCACACAGCGCCCCCCACCCTTACCCATGTACAGCGCCCCCGCAGCCTTACCTGCGCACAGCGCCCCCACACCCTTACCCCCACACCCCCCACCCTTACCCACACACAGCCCCCCCACCCTTACCCATGTACAGCGCCCCGCAGCCTTACCTGCACAGCCCCCCACACCCTTACCCGCGCACAGCCCCCCCACCCTTACCTGTGCACAGCGCCCCCCGCAGCCTTACCCATGTACAGCCCCCCCACACCCTTACCCATGTACAGCGCCCCCCGCAGCCTTACCCGCGCACACCCGCCACACCCCCACCCTTACCTGCGCACAGCGCCCCCCGCAGCCTTACCCATGTACAGCGCCCCCCGCAGCCTTACCCATGTACAGCACCCCCTCCTTGGTCTTCTCCGCAGCCTCCGCCACCCCCTGCTTGGTCTTCTCCGCCGCAGCCACCACCCCCTCCTTGGCCTTGGACAAGCCCTTCATGAACGCGTCCATGGCGGCGGCTCTGCACGGAGAGAGACCCGCAAGATGGCTCCGGGAGCCGGACCGCTGCCCGCGGTGCCCACAACCCCCCCGTGCCATGCAACCCGGGCACAGCTGTACCCCCACCCCGCGGCGCAGGGAGCGGCTCCTCCCGGGCGCACCCCGCCTGGGGCCGCTCGGGGGGGGCGGACCGACCCCCCCGGCCCGGTTCCGAGCGTAGCGCCCCAGATCTCGGCTCCCCGCTCCATGGCCCGCCGCCCCCCGCCCGGCTCCGTGTCCTTGAAACGCAGGAAGGATGCAAAGAACCGCGGGGCGGGGGGGCAGCTCCGCAGCAGGGGCACAAGCCAGGCGGCTCCCGGGGGACGGGGGCAGGTGCCGGCCGGGGTCGGGGGGTCCCTGCCCCCCGCGATGAGCGGCCCGCCGGGCTCACCTGCAATCGGCGATGGCGCTGGGCTCAGCGCGGCTCTGCCATGGAGCGCTTCGCCCTGCTGAATATTGCGCTGCGCCGCGCCGCCCCTCCTCGCTGCCCGGATGAACGGGGACCCGCAGGCCGGTCCCCGGCCTGGCTCTTGCGGGGGCGGGGGCTCCCACAGCGCCGGCGGGAGGGGCTCCCCCACTCCACACACACCATGTGGTTGGGGGGAGGTGGAACGGCTGCGCTGCGGGGGTGCAGGGAGCGCAGTGGGGCAGGGCTGGGGGGGTGCAGGGAGCGCAGGGGGGCAGGACTGGGCCAGGCAGGGAAAGGGGGCTGCAGGAGAGGCAGGGATAACCCACAGGCTTGGCCCTTGTGCAGCCCCCCGCGGTCCCCGGGTGTGACTCAGACAGGGCAGCTCGGGGGAGCAAGTGGCCCCTGGTGCCCGCACCCCCAGATGCAGGTGGCACCTGGGCCGGGGCAGCCTGTCCTTCTGCTCAACCCAGGCCCTTTATCCAATGATCCAAAGCAGCCAGGATCCCTGCCCCCCACGTTCATTCTGCTTGGGGCTGGAGCGATGCTTGGGAAATCAGAACCAGGGTCCCACACGGCACAGCCCTGGGGGTAGGGGAGACCCCGCTACCTCCTCGTGGGTGGCCATGAACTGCAGCCAGGGCCCTGGGAGCCTCTGACAGCCCAGACCTCCCACGGCTGTGGTCAGAGGTCAGCATTGCAAGGTGATTACAATAATCCCAGGGGGCCAAACCTGGAGACCGTCTCCTTGGCCCGGCGTAGGGTGGGGAAGGCTCCCTTGCAGGACAGGATGCACTGGCAGCCCCCAGCCGGGGGAAGACAAGGTCTCTCTCTCTCTGCCATTGGCAGAGCACCCATTGCCACAGCATCTGGGCTGCCCCAGCCCTCACGACACCTCCTGCCCTGTGGCCCTGGCCTTGGGATTTCCCCCCTCTGCCAGCAGATTCTGCTTCATCTCCCTGTGACGCTCCCAGGGGGCACAAAGTCCCTGCCAGCTGAGAAAGCGGGCCGGGCAGGGGTGAGACCGCGGGGAGGGCTGGCTGCCCCTGCCCCCCAGGCAGCTGGGCCTTTAAGAGTCTGGGTTCCACATAAAAGGAGCTCTGCAGGGGGTGGGTCCTACTCTGGGAAGATGGCTGCAGCTGAGATGGTGAGTTGCACCATGGCTGCCTGGCTGCTCTGAGCCCCGCCTGGAGCTCCCCCTCCAGCCTGAGGTGCCAGCCCCCCATGGCACTTGTGTGGAGCCAGAGCCCTGGCCCTGCAATGTTCCAGGGAGACCCCTAGCAGCCTGTTTAATGTGCCCTGTTGTGGGGTGGCAGGGAGAGGCCTGGCTGGAGGGGGCCTGGATCTGGGGTGGGCTGGTGTTCCCCTGACACTAGCCCACACGTTCCTGCCCTGGTGCTGGGAGGCGTGACTCTGCCAGCTCCCTGGGGGCCTGGGCAGGCTGCTCCCTGCCATGTGCTCTGCCCAGGGCTGTGCCAGGCCCTGGGTTAAAGGGTCTTGGCACGTGCACGTCTCAGATGGCTGCGGGCAGGGTGATGGCACCGGTGTGGCTGGAGGAGAGGGGGGACTGGCTTGACACACCAGCCCTGGGCAGGCTCTGCCTGGGGGCATGTCCCAGCCCTGCAGCGGCAGTGCTGGGGGGCAGTGCAGTGGAGGGAGGTGCTGCGCCGGCTGAGGCTGTGGAGAGGACAGCAAGCAGCGACCTCTGCTCATGTGCCAGGCCCTTTGCCCTGCGGTGCTGCCGTGCCCTGGGAGGCTGCAGAACCGCTCTGGGTGCTGGAGGCCTGGAGCCTGGCTCCTGCCCTGGGGACGCCAGGGAGTCCCTGTCTCAGGGCACCTGGGGCCCTGGCAACCATGTGGTTAGTCTCTGGGCATGGGGCACCCAGCGCTTGTGGGGCTGGACCTGGGGTGCGGCTGGCTTGGTTACTCACGGGGCTCCACTCGCCCACCCTCTGGGGTCCCCTTGAAGCCATCCCTGCCCTCCAGAGTCTGCCATGCCCGTGTGCCCTGCCCTGTGCCTTACGCCAGTCTGTGCAGGGGGGCGCGCTGCACCGGCGAGAGGATCAGAGACGGCGAAAGGCCCAGAGGGAGGCGCTCGCTGCTGAAATCTGGGACAAGCACCCCCTGCAGAACAGGTATCGGCCGGCCTGGGCGGGGGGGGCTCCCCTAGTCCCTGGCACTCCCCTGAATTCCTGCCTGCTGTCCCCCACCCCACATGGCTCCCTCCTCCAGCTGCTCTGTGCTGCTGCTCCCCTGGGTGCTGTGGTGAAACGCCCATGCTGGGGCTAGGCTGGTGAGGGGCCCCGGGGGTGCCCTGCCCCATGGAGGGGCTGTGAGCCTCTGGTGCTTGCCCGTAGCCGCAGAGCGGGGGGTAGAGGTGGCTCTGATTGCCAGGTGGAAGCCCCTCTCGGACACCCCCAGCTTAGAGGAAAGGCCATGTGGGGTCCTGGACTTCAGAGGGGTCACGGAGTCTGATCATCCCATCTGACCCCTGTGTCACTGGCCCCCAGCACCCCTCTGCCCCCAACAACCGACAGGAGACCAATCTCCCAGACCGCAGCAGGCGGGACAGGGACGGACGAGGGGCAGGGCACCAGGGACTGAGCCCTGCAATGGCAGGGAGAGGGTTAAGTGGGAGACGACCCCCCCCCAGATAATCCTGGTGAGTGACCCGCACCCAGCACTGCAGAGGGAGGAGCCCTGGGGGGGGGTGTCACTGCCAGTCTGACCTGGGGAAATTCCTCCCTGACCCCACCCCTGGTGATCAGTCAGAGCAGCCAGCCAAGCTGGGCCCTTGTGGTGGGGGTGGGGCCGGGGACAGACCTGTCAGTGAAGGGGGGCGACTTGGGTTTGGTTATATTGGCTTGGGGGGGGCTGGTAGAGTGAGGGGGGTGGCAGAGGGCTGCCTGGCTGGGTGGCCAGAGTTAGTGTGGCAGGGGTGGCTGTGGGGGGGGGCTGGGGGGGCACAGGGGTGCGTGGCGGGGGCTGGCTGACCAGCATGGGGAGCCGGGGGGGCACAGGGGTGCGTGGCGAGCTGACCGACCAGCATGGGGGGCCGGGGGGGCACAGGGGTGCGTGGCGGGCTGGCCATGTGGGGGGCCGGGTGGGCACAGGGGTGTGTGGCGGGGGCTGGCTGACCAGCATGGGGGGCCGGGTGGGCACAGGGGTGCGTGGCGGGCTGGCCACGTGGGGGGCCGGGTGGGCACAGGGGTGCGTGGCGGGGGCTGGCTGACCAGCATGGGGGGCCGGGTGGGCACAGGGGTGCATGGCGGGCTGGCCGCATGGGGGGCCGGGTGGGCACAGGGGTGTGTGGCGGGGCGGGCTGGCCGGCACGGGGGTGTCCGACCGATGTCTGCTCTCTGCTGCGTGTGGCTCTAACCGGCCCTGCCCCTCCCTCCAGGTGGGCTCTCTGGTTCTTCAAGAATGACAAGAGCAAGACGTGGCAGGCGAACCTGCGTCTGGTCACCAAGTTCAGCACCGCGGAGGATTTCTGGGCGTGAGTCCCCCTCGGGTCCTTGCTGCTGGGGCGGGGTTGCTTCAACTTCTGCAGAGGGATCTTGGGGGCTCCCCTGTCTGAGCGGGGCGACCGCCCCCTGTGTGAGGCCCTCATGGGCAGGAGGGTCAGACTGTGGGCATGGGAATGAGGCAGCTGGCGCAGGGGTCGGGGCTGGCACTGACGGGCTCATGCCCCCAGCCCTGGCCTCTCCCCTGGTGTCTGCATGGGAACTTCGCTCCCGTCTGTGCCCGGGGCTCAGTAGAGGGGGGTTGGGGTTCAGTGTCTCTGACCCACGGGGGGAGGGTGTTCACCCCTCTGGGCCCCAGGTGGTGTTGTGCGGGGCGGGGGTCCTAGGGGCTTTGGGGGGCTGCTGCACCAGGTTCTTCTTTCCAGCCACTAACCCGCTCGTCTCCGCACCGGCTCGTCTCCGCAGGCTGTACAGCCACATCCAGCTGGCCAGCAAGCTCACGTCAGGCTGCGACTACTCCCTCTTCAAGGTAGGCCTCTGCCCTCCCGCAGTGCCCATCCTCGCGGCCAGGGGCACCCAGGGGTGCCAAAGAGCCAGCTGGCCCCCGGGGGTGGGAGCTCGCTGGGTCTGTCTGTGCGCCAGGGCTCCGGCGGGCGCGTGGCCCTGCCCAGTCCGAGGGATCTCGCCCGGCTGCCCGCGGGGGGTGAGGCAAGCTGAGGGGCTGGTCTCGTCCCCTCTGGGGCGGGGGCAGCGTGACCCCGCGGGGAGGGGCTCAGGGTGTGGGAGAGGCTGTCAGGAAGGCTGGGGGTGATTTTGGGGAAGGCTGGCGGCTGCCTGCGCCCCTTGACTCGGCACCTCCCTGGCCCAGGACGGGATCGAGCCCATGTGGGAAGACAACCGGAACAAGCGGGGTGGGCGCTGGCTCATCACGCTGGCCAAGCAGCAGAGACACACGGAGCTGGACCGCTTCTGGCTGGAGACGGTGAGAGCGAGTCGCAGCCCTGCAGCCTCGCACCCCTTGTGCCCCCGTCCCACAGCTGGGCTGGGTGGGTTCTAGGCCCCCCTCTCTGCCCTAACCCTGGGGCTGGGCCCCAGGGCTCCGCTGTCCCTCGGACAAGTCCCAGCGAGGGGACCCCTCTGCACCGGGGGGTGGAGGGTTGGATACCAGCCACAGCTTCCCCCGGTGGGGCAGGAATCCTTGGCAGCTCCCCACATTCAGCCCTTCAGGGGCCTCTCGGATCCAGTGCACCTGGCTTCTCCCATGGGGGGCCTAGGGGGCTGCCGGTTTGAGCCAGCAGCTTCCTCCTTGCCATGGGGCAGAGTAACAGCTCCTCAAGGGTGTCGCGCTGCCCGGCCTGGGGGATGGGTGCTGGCCTGCCCCCCCGGGAGCAGGTGCCGCAGACCCATGGTGACCCAGGGGACTCCCCCCGTGCACAGCTGCTGTGCCTGATTGGCGAGACGTTCGGCCCCTACAGCGAGGACATCTGTGGGGCCGTCATCAACATCCGGGCCAAGGGGGACAAGATCGCAATCTGGACCCGAGAGGCAGAGAACCGGGACGGGGTCACCCACATTGGGTAAGGTGGCTCCGATGGCTCTGTCGGGGGGGAGGGGAGGGCTGGGCACAGGGCTCCCCAGATGCCCCTTGCTAGGCAGGCCACGGCCCCCAGAACCACGGGCCGGGCATGGGACTCTGCAGGCCTGGCGCCGAGCTGGGATCAGCCTGGAGGCCGCTGGGAGCTCCCTGCTGGCACTGGGCAGGTGGGGCGGGGGTGCTGTTCTGCATTAGTACCTCTGGCTCCCCAAGCTGGGACCCGGCCCTGCGGCTCCCGGGGCTGAGGGGGGGCCCTGCAGCCGGGATTCCCAGGGGGCGTGGGGGTGGGCAGGCCGGAACCCAAGAGCGTGCTCTCTCCCCAGGCGGGTGTACAAGGAGCGCCTGGGGCTGTCCCACAAGGTGGTGATCGGGTACCAGGCCCACGCGGACACGGCCACCAAGAGCGGCTCCCTCACCAAGAACAAGTTTGTGGTGTGAGTGCCAGGCTGGGCTCCTGGGACTGCCGGCCGCACCCCACCCGGGGGGAGGTTGAGGCGGGGGCCTTCCCCTGGCGGGCTGGGCTGGCACGGGATGGGGGAGGGCTCTGCCTGCGGTGGGAAGCGAGATGTAAATTCCCACAATGCAAGTGCTGCATCCAACCACTGACTCTGTGTCTGCCTGCGGGGTCGGGGGGCTCACTGCTGGGCCTCGTGCCCCCACCCGCCAGCACCCAGCCGTGCAGGCCAGGGCAGGCCTGGGCCAGCTCCAGCAGAGGAGGCTTTGGGAGCACGGAGGGGAGGGTGCAAGTGAGCTCCAGCACTGAAGACACCTGAGCAGGTGCCCACTGGTGCAGGTGCCCAGAGGGGAGTCTGTGCCCACCTGACATGGAGAGTGGATGTGCCCCCCGGCGGTGCCTAGGGTCCAGCCCCCCTGCTGCTACCAGCCAGTACCCCCTGCTGCAGCCCTGCCCACTTCTGTCCCCTGCCCAGGGGGCTGGGCACCAGTGCTGGCCCTGGGGAGAGCAGTGCCCACGACCCGCTGCTGAGCAGCCTGGCACAGGGGGAGCTGCCCCACAGGGCTCTCCTCTCTCTCTCAGCTCCTGCTGCAGCAGGAGTGTGTGTGGGGGGGAAGGGGGGGGGTGGCCCCACGCTGCATGACGGGGACAGTCCCGCCAGGCTCCTGCTCCTTCAGGCCATGGGAGGGGACATAGCAACAGGGCCACCTTCTCCATGCCGTGCCCGGCCTCACCCTGGTGGTTCCCGTGGGGTGCCTGCTGCTGGGCTTCCCTGGGTGCTGGGGGGGGGGTCGCAGAGCACCCAGCTCCACTCCAGGCTCTGCTTTGGGGGCACCTGGCTTGGCTCTGGGCGGGCCCAGCTGAGCCCAGGCAGCCTGTCCTCTGCTGCCTCTGGGCAGTGCTGACCCGGCAGCTGGGTGGGCTGCTGGGGAGGAGCCCAGATGCAGAGCTGCTGCCCCCCCCCATGCCCTGGAGAGAGGCCTTGATGCCTGGCAGGGGTTGGGTGGGTATCGGCCTGCTGGGGCAGGGCCAAGGTGGGGCCAGCATGGGGGGATCCCTCCAGGCCCCTGGTCCTGCGCTCCTGGAAAGCAGAGTCCTGCTGGGCTGCTGAGATGGGGGCTGCCTGAGCACCGGTGGGGGGGAGGGTACAGTGACTCGAGGGGCCCAGCAGGCAAAGGAGAGAGCCCCCCTTTGGACCCCTGCCCCAGGCTCTGGAGTACTGGCTGTCAGGGGGTCCGTGGGCGATGCTCTGGGACTGCTCCCCACGAAGCCAGGCAGGACTCTGGGGAAGCCTCCTCCCTGGGAGCAGCCTGTCTGCAGGACACACAGCTCACCCGGCTTCCACCTTCCTGGCTCTGACCTCGGAGCCTTCAGCCTCCTCTGCCCCTCCCTGCGCTTCCCACAGCGAGTCCGCCCAGGCGGGGTCCTGGGGAAGCCAGAGGGTCCTGCCCCCCAACTCCACAGTCAGACGGGACTCTCAGCCAGCCGATAAAACAAAGGTTTATTAGACAACAGGAACATGGTCTAACACAGAGCTTGTGGGTACACCCAGGACCCCTCAGTCAAGTCCTTCTGGGTGAGCAGGGAGCTTAGACCCCAGCCCTGGGGTTCCCTGCGTTCCACCACCCAGCACCAAACTGAAACTCCCCCCCCCACCCCCCGCGCACGTCCTCTGGGTTTTGTCCCTTTCCGGGGCCAGGAGGTCACCGGATTCCTTTGTTCCTTTAACTCTCACCTTGCAGGGGGGAAGGGCATAGGCCATCAGTGGCCAGGAAACAGGGTGTCGGCCATTCTCTGTGTCCAGACCCCTGCACACACCTGCCCTCTAGGGCTCTGCAACGATCACACACCCTTATCCCACCACCTAGATACTTAAGAACTGCCTAGGGGAAACTGAGGCACCCTCACTATTCAGAGGAAACATTAAGAACAGTCCCACTTCGTCACGCTGGCTGCCTAGCACAGCCCCCCTGCGTGGGCCCATGGGGAGCAGCGTCCCGACGGAGGAGGTGAGATGCTGCTCCGGGTTCTTGGGGCTGTGGTGCTGGCCCTGCTCAGCCAGCCTGCGGCTGCCGGCCCTGATGGGCCCCTCCCGGCACAGGGCGTGGGGGGGTCAATGCCCAGCCAGCTGCCTGGGGAGCCGTCCCGTCTCCACTTTCCCTGTCGGTGGGGGGGGGGTCCGAGAGGCCTGGCCCGAGCTGCTGTTCCTGCCAGGGCCAGGCTCAGCAGCAGGGTCAGCGCTGGCCCTGCCTTGAGGCTTCTGGCCCCCCCCCACGGCTTCTGGCTTCATTGAAAACGAGTGCCCTAGCCTCCGGTCTGCTCGGTCTTTGCTCCTGGCCTTGGCTGCAGCTGGTTGGCTGGTGCCGCCTGGCCTGGGTATCTCTGGCAGCAGAACACGGTAAGCGGTGTTTCAAAGACCTTCCCCGAGGATTTTCCTCAGCACTTCGCAGCCGCTGCAGGGAGGGACGGCTCCCTACAGAGCAACACGAGCTCCCCGTCTCCACGGGGCAGCAGAGGCAGGGTCCCTGCGCTGCTCAGCCGATGGAGAGGCCTCCGGCGAAGATAGCCGAGGGACTGCGGGTCAGGAGTGAGGAGCAGCGGCAAAGATGGGGGAAGCTTAAGCCTGGGATAAAAGGGGCTGTGGGTCCGGCTGGAGGGACTCTAGGTGAGCTGGGAGGAGGAGAAGAGCAGCTGGGGCTGGTCTAGAAAGGGGGGCTCTGGGGTGGGAGACCTCCTGTGGGGGGGCAGATTATCCCCCTGTGCCCCTCACAGGCTTCATCCACCTTCCCCTGCAGCATCTGCTGCACTGGGAGATGGGGCTAGCGGTGCCTGAAGCTGGCTGGCAATTCCTCTGTCCCGCCTGCTGTGCTGCCCTGCCCTGCCCCCTGCATCTCAAACCCTCACAAGCCCCTGTCCTGGGGCGGCTGGGGAAACTGAGGCTCTGAGCAGGTGACAAAGCCCTGGCTGGGATGATTTAATTGGGGATTGGCCCTGCTTTGAGCAGGGGGTTGGACTAGATGACCTCCTGAGGTCCCTTCCAACCCTGATATTCTATGATTCTAACCCTGTATGGCAGTGGGGCTGACTGGTCTCTCATGCGCTCAGAAAAGTGAGATTGGTAGAGTTGTCACGGATCCACAGAGCGGTGCAATGGCCCCACTTGGGAACATACTCCTGGAGGAGCCCCTGCAGTGAGCCAGACCCCCTGGGCTCCCACTCCTGCCTGGGGATAGGCCCCACAGCCTCCTTGACTGAGCCCTCCTGCTTCGCCCGTGAGCTCTGCCCAGTGTGTCTAGCTGAGACAGACCCTGGTGCAGCCGTGTCCCCTCCGCGGGTTAATGCCCTGGCCCCGTCTTCGCAGCGACCCTCACCCAGCGCTGTCACAGAAGAGGGCTGACCAGGCAGCTGGCCGCAGCACCAGCTCTGAGGTTAGCCCAGAGCCAGGAAGGTCCAAGCAGGGCCCAGCTGGTCAAGCTGTGTCACGGAGTCCCTGGGCGATGCTCTGGAACTGCTCCCCATGAAGCCAGTCAGGACTCTGGGGCAGTCGCCTTTCTCTGAGCAGCCTGTCTTCAGGACACACAGCTCACACAGCTTCCACCTTCCTGGGTCTGACCTCGGAGCATTCAGCATCCTCTGCCCCTCCGTGCGCTTCCCACAGCGAGTCCGCTCAGGCGGGGCTCCTGGGGAAGCCAGAGGGTCCTGCACCCCAACTTCGCAGTCAGACGTGACTCTCAGCCAGCCAGTAAAACAGAAGGTTTATTAGACGACAGGAACATGGTCTAACACAGAGCTTGCAGGTGCAGAGAACGGGACCCCTCAGCTGGGTCCATTTTGGGGGGTAGTGAGCCAGACAACCACGTCTGCACTTCACTCCATGTCCCAGCCAGCCCCAAACTGAAACTCCCTCCAGCCCCTCCTCCTCTGGGCTTTGTTCCTTTCCCGGGCCAGGTGGTCACCTGATTCCTTTGTTCTCGGACCCTTCAGCTCTCACCTTGCAGGGGGGGAAGGGCCCAGGCCATCAGTTGCCAGGAAACAGGGTGTCGGCCATTCTCTGTGTCCAGACTCCTGCACACACATGCCCTCTAGAGCTCTGCAATGATCATACACCCTTACTCCACCCCCTAGATACTTAAGAACTGCCTGGGGGAAACTGAGGCACCCCCACACTATTCAGAGGAAACATTAAGAACAGTCCCACTTCGTCACAAGCTGCAATTCACCAGCCAACCTGGAACAAGCCAGTTCTGGGCTCTTGCTGATTTCCTGCCCTCGTCTGTTCCCAGCTGAGAGCCCCAAGCTTCTTCCAGAGCTGCCCCCTGCCCCCCATCTCCTCCCAGCCCTTTGTTCTCGAGCTGGGGTCACCATTCAATTGTCTCTCCGGACCCCTTGTTGACCTGGGTCCATTTCAACCAGTTCCTTAATGACCCTTCATTCCACCCAGACGAGGGGGTGACACAAACACACTGTGTCTCTCTCAGGCTGCCCTGAGAGCAGCCTTAATCCTCTTCCCCCCCCCCCCCCCCCGCCTGCCCCCCCAGCCATGCAGAGGTCCAGCAGAGGGCAACAAAAATGATTAGGGGTCTGGAACACATGACTTATGAGGAGAGGCTGAGGGAGCTGGGATTGTTTAGCCTGCAGAAGAGAAGAATGAGGGGGGATTTGATAGCTGCTTTCAACTGCCTGAGAGGTGGTTCCAGAGAAGATGGTTCTAGGCTATTCTCAGTGGTAGCAGATGACAGAACGAGGAGTAATGGTCTCAAGTTGCAGTGGGGGAGGTTTCGGTTGGATATTAGGAAAAACTTTTTCCCTAGGAGGGTGGTGAAACACTGGAATGCGTTACCTAGGGAGGTGGTGGAATCTCCTTCCTTAGAGGTTTTTAAGGTTAGGCTTGACAGAGCCCTGGCTGGGATGATTTAATTGGGGATTGGTCCTGCTTTGAGCAGGGGTTTGGACTAGAACTTCCTGGGGTCTCTTCCAACCCTGATACGCTATGATATTCTATGCACAGTAGTGGGGGAAACTGAGGCACATATCAGATTCATAAACATATTACAAAAAATTCCCACTTTGCCACACCAGGTAACCGTGTAGATGTAACCGATGTCTGACTTAGCTGCCTGTGAGAACAGGGCACTGGCCTGTGTCCTGTGGTGTGGTTCTGGGGGATCCTGTGTGATCCTTGGATGAGTAACAGTGTAGGGAAGCCATTCTCCCTCTGGCCGTGGCCTGACTGAGATGGATGCTGGACACTGCATCAAGCCAGGGCCAGCCCACCTCATTTTGGCACCTGAGGCGGGGAGCTCAAAGGATGCCCCCTTGCTTGGGCCAAAACTTTGAAACTCTGGGTCCTAGTGCCCTCCCCCCCTCCCCGGGCACCTCAGGTGGCTGCCTCAGTTTGCCTCGTGGTAAGGCCAGCCCTGCCTCCAGCTCTGCTGGCCACGGTCTAAAAAGGCTGTTGAAAGATGGGAGAGGGAGCAGAGAGGAGCCACAAAATATTAGGGCTGGAAAATACCCGTGGATGAGTGAGCGACAGAGCGCAGGCTGGCAGAGAGCACCCCCGGGAGACACGGCTGGGTCCTCGGGGCTCTGAGCGAGTGGAGGATGGCGGGACAGGAACCCGTGGCTGGAAGCAGCAGGCAGCCAAACTCCAGTGAGGAAGGCGGCAGAGTTCCTGGGACTTTGCAACCAGGGGTTAATCTCCGAGTCATTACCTCCCCTCCTCTCCCCTCCAGAGGGGCAGCGGGCTGGGCTCCCCTGGGGCTGGGTCTCTGCACTTACCTGGGCCATGTGACCCCTCTTGCTGGGCAGGGGGCCCCAGGCCACAGAGAGCGGAGGTCAGGCCGTTTGCTGCTTGGAAGGGAATTTCCTCTGCGTTGCGGGCAGGGTTAAGATTGACCCTCTGCCGATCAGCCCAGGAAATGCACCCGCCTGGCAGCACTTTGCTTGGCTTTGGTCCTGGAAGGCCCCACTCAGCTCCGTATTGTCCCTGGGGACATGCTAGGGACGCACTTAGGGCCATGTGAGACACGTGCCCTGCCCTGGGGAGCTCCCGTGGGGGCACCTGGCCAGCTGCAGACTGAGCAGAACCCCTTCCCTGGGCGCGGAGCTGGAAGGGGCCTGGCCTGGAATCCCCTCTCTGGGTTGAAGGGAGGGCTGGGACAGCCTGGACCTGGGGCTCATGCCAATGCTGCTGAAGGGACACCGCGGGTCGGGCGTTTCAGTAAGTTCCTGGGAGAGACCCCTTGGCCCAGCCGTTCGCCCCATGCGCTGCCCACCAGGGGCAGGCTGGGATACAGGGGCTACTGTCTACTGTGCCAGGCGCTGCCCAGGAAATCCGCTTCGCCTACACACGAGATGCTGCTGACGGGCTCGTGCGATGCCCAAAACCTGACTGTGCAGCTCCCTAGGCTGGTGTCCCAGCACGGCCCGGGGCCTGTCTAGGCTCCGGGGGCCGAACAACCCCCCTGAAACTCGTCTTCTCCCTGCTGGGCCCCTGGGGCTCAGCTCCTTTCTCACGTGCGGGGAAGAGCCGCTACTTTCCGGGTCCGCCTCGTTCTCACGGGGATCAGCGGTTTGTTCAACATCTGCATCAATGAGCTGGAGGACAGCGTGGATTGCACCCTCAGCAAGTTCACGACGACACTAAACTGCGGGGAGAGGTGGATATGCTGGAGGGTAGGGACAGGGTCCAGAGTGAGCTAGACAAATTGGAGGATTGGGCCAAAAGAAATCTGATGAGGTTCAACAAGGACAAGTGCAGAGTCCTGCACTTAGGCTGGAAGAATCCCATGTACTGCTACAGACTAGGGACCGAATGGCTCGGCAGCAGTTCGGCAGAAAAGGACTTAGGGGTGACAGTGGACGAGAAGCTGGATAGGAATCAACAGTGTGCCCTTGTTGCCAAGAAGGCCAATGGCATTTTGGGCTGTATAGGTAGGGGCATTGCCAGCAGACTGAGGGATGTGATTACCTACCTGTCCTTCTGCACCCTGCCCAGTGTGAGCAATGGGGCAATTGCCAGTCCTCAGCCTGCCAGGGGTCTGCCCTCTGCACCCTCCTCCCTGGGTGCTGGCAGTCAGCTGCGATTCCTTGGGCTGGGGTGCTGTGTTCAGAGGAGGTGAGGGCAAACATGCTCGGGGAAAAAAGGGAAATAAGGACAACCCGGGGAATTACAGACCAGTCAGCTTAACTTCTGTGCCCAGAAAAATAATGGAGCAAATAATCAAGCAATCAGTTTGCAAAAATCTAGAAGATACTAAGGTGATAAGTAACAGTAAGCTTGGATTTGTCAAGAACAAATCATGTCAAACCAACCTGATAGCTTTCTTTGACAGGGTAACAGGTCTTGTGGATGGGGGGAAGCGGTAGACGTGGTCGATCTTTGTGACGAAGTGGGACTGTTCTTAATGTTTCCTCTGAATAGTGTGGGGGTGCCTCAGTTTCCCCTATGCAGTTCTTAAGTCTCTAGGGGGTGGGATAAGGGTGTATGATCATTGCAGAGCCCTAGAGGGCAGGTGTGTGCAGGGGTCTGGACACAGAGAATGGCCGACACCCTGTTTCCTGGCCACTGATGGCCTGGGCCCTTCCCCCCTGCAAGGTGAGAGCTAAAGGGTTGGAGAACAAAGGAATCCGGTGACCTCCTGGCCCCGGGGAAAGGGACAAAGCCCAGAGGAGGATGGGATGTAGAGAGTTTCAGTTTAGGTCTGGCTGGGGACATGGAGTGAAGTGCAGACATGGTTGTCTGGCTCACGGCCCCCCAGAATGGACCCAGCTGAGGGGTCCTGTTCTCTACATCTACAAGCTCTGTGTTAGACCATATCCCTGTCGTCTAATAAACCTTCTGTTTTACTGGCTGGCTGAGAGTCCCGTCTGACTGCGGAGTTGGGGGGCAGGACCCTCTGGCTCCCCCAGGACCCCACCTGGGCAGACTCGCTGTGGGAAGCGCACGGAGGGGCAGAGGAGGCTGAATGCTCTGAGGTCAGGCCCGGGAAGGTGGAAGCCGGGTGAGCTGTGTGTCCTGAAGACAGGCTGCCCCCAGAGAGGAGACTTCCCCAGAGTCCTGCCTGGCTTCATGGGGAGCAGTTCCAGAGCATCGCCCGGGGACTCCGTGACAATCTTGACTTGAGTAAGGCTTTTGATACTGTCTTGCATGACCTTCTCATAAACAAACTAGGGAAATACAACCTAGATGGAGCTACTATAAGGTGGTTGAAAAACCATTCCCAGAGAGTAGTTATCCGTGGTTCACAGTCATGCTGGAAGGGCATAACGAGTGGGGTCCCGCAGGGATCAGTTCTGGGTCCGGTTCTGTTCAATCAGTGATTTAGATAATGGCAGAGAGAGAACACTTCTAAAGTTTGTGGATGATACCAAGCTGGGAGGGGTTGCAAGTGCTTTGGAGGACAGGATTAAAATTCAAAATCATCTGGACAAACTGGAGAAATGGTCTGAAGTAAATAGTAAATTCAATAAGGACAAATGCAAAGTACTCCACTGAGGAAGGAACAATCCGTTGCACACACACAATGGGAAATGACTGCCGAGGAAGGAGTCCTGTGGACAGGGATCTGGGGGTCATAGTAGATCACAAGCTAAATATGAGTCAACAGTGTAACATGGTTGCAAAAAATGCAAACATTATTCTGGGATGTGTTAGCAGGAGTGTTGTAAGTGAGACAGGAGAAGTAATTCTTCCCTTCTACTCTGTGCTGATTAGGCCTCAGCTGGAGTATTGTGTCCAGTTCCAGGTGCCACATTTCAGAAAAGATGCGGACAAATTGGAGAAAGTCCAGAGAAGAGCAACACAAATGATGAAAGATCTAGAAAACAGGACCTATGAGGGAAGATTGAAAACACTGGGTTTGTTTAGTCTGGAGTAGAGAAGACTGAGAGGGGGTGTGATAACAGTTTTCAAGTACATAAAAGTTTGTTACAAGGAGGAGGGAGAAGAATTGTTCTCCTTAACCTCTGAGGACAGGACAAGAAGCAATGGGCTTCAATTGCAGCAAGGGTGGTTTAGGTTGGAGATTAGGAAAAACTTCCTATCAGGGTGGTTGTCACAGTGTGAGGGGGAGTCAGGGCCCTGCACCCCCACTTCCTGCGATTCACCGTGACTCTCAGCCAGCCAGGAGAACAGAAGGTTTATTAGAGACGACAGGAACACAATCCAACCCAGAGCTTGCAGGCATAAACAGGATCCCTTAGTCAGGCCCTTCTGGGGGGCAGGGAGATTAGACCCCAGCCTTGGGGCTCCCTCCTCTTCCCCAGCCAACTCCCCAAAACTGGAAACCCCTCCAGTCATCTCCCCCAGCCTCCCCCCAGCTTCTCCTCCTGCCTTTGTCCAGTTTCCTGGGCAGGTGTCACCTGGCCCCAACCCCCCTCCTGGCTCAGGTGTCTTCCCTCAAGGGAAGTCTCCCCTCCCCAATGAAACTCCCCTGCAACATCCCCAGGTCAATCTGCCCCACTCCCTGCTGCATCACAGTGGTTAAGCTCTGGAATAAATTGCCCAGGGAGGTGGTGGAATCTCCATCACTGGGGATGTTTAAGAGCAGGTTGGACAAACACCTGCCAGGGATGGTCTAGATAATACTGAGTCCTGCCAGGAGTGCAGGGGACAGGACTGGAGACCTCGTGAGGCCCCTGCCTGTCCTCTGAGTCTATGGGCTGCAGCCTGCTGGGCTATTTCCAGACATGGCTCCAGGATTGCCCCATGCCCCATGCCAGAGGGACTCTGGGGAGAGGGTCTGTTGGGGGCAGCTCCCCCAGGTCTCCTCCCCAGCCCTTCTCAGGCGGGTTCCCCTATCCAGGCTGTGTGTATGCTGCATGGGGCAGTGGGGGCGGGGGCATGCACTGGGCCAGGCAGTGGGGCTCCCTGTCCTGCTTTAACTGGGGCCCCTCCCCCTCCTTAGTGGTCTTGCTGTGGGGCCCATGGACCCAACGACTGGAACCTCCATATCTACTTCATCTGGATGGACCCGAACCCCAGCAGGGAGCACTGTGGGGTGCCGTTCTCCCGCTGCCTTCAGGACCCTGCGGTAAGGGGTGGGGAGGGCTGTGACCCCTCAGGGGGTGGCTCCAGAAACCAGAATGACCATCCTGCCCCGGGTGGCCATTGCAATGCATGGGGCTCAGTCACCTCCAGGTGCGCAGCCCCCAGAGAGCAGGGGCTGAGGGTGGGGCACAGCTAAGCTGGGGGGCAATGTGCACCCCCCAAAGGTTCCCTGCTGTGGGGACGGCTGGGCGAGGCCTGGGAGCTCTGACCCTGTCACGTGGCTGCTCCCCACAGGAGGACGTCCCCCCCACACAGTGCGGCTACGGCGTCCAGCTGAAACTGGGGAGCGCTGAGCAGTGCTTGGGGGGCGTCAGGGAGTAGGTGCTGGGGGGAGGGCTGGGCTGGGCTGGGGGGCCTGGGGGTTTGGGCATCTGGGGGGAGGGGTGTCTGGGGCCCTGGGCTGGGGAGGCAGGTCAGTGTCAGGGGAAGCTGTTTCCTCTGGCCCCCCCCTCACTCGCCCAGGCGGCTGCCCCGGCCGTGACCCCCCCACCCCATGGCACAGGAGCCGGAGCACCAAGGCTTCATCCACACCAGGGGCAGCGCAGGGCGGTGTGAGGGCGGCTGTGGGACGATCTGATCGCGGTGGCTGGGGTCTTCGTGGGCACCGCGCTGCTCCAGGTGCTGCCTGCCGGCACGCCCACGCCCAGCTGGCACCCGGCTGGGACCCCCCGTGCCAGGCCCCCGCGCCCAGCTGGCACCCGGCTGGGACCCCCCGTGCCAGGCCCCCGCGCCCAGCTGGCACCCGGCTGGGACCCCCCGTGCCAGGCCCCCGTGCCCAGCTGGCACCCGGCTGGGACCCCCCGTGCCAGGCCCCCGTGCCCAGCTGGCACCTGGCTGGGACCCCCCGTGCCAGGCCCCTGCCCCCAGCTGGCACCCGGCTGGGACCCCCGTGCCAGGCCCCCGTGCCCAGATGGCACCCGGCTGGGATCCCCCATGCCAGGCCCCCGCCCCCAGCTGGCACCCGGCTGGGACCCCCCGTGCCAGGCCCCCGCCCCCAGCTGGCACCCGGCTGGGACCCCCCGTGCCAGGCCCCCGTGCCCAGCTGGCACCCGGCTGGGACCCCCTGTGCCAGGCCCCTGCCCCCAGCTGGCACCTGGCTGGGACCCCCTGTGCCAGGCCCCTGCCCCCAGCTGGCACCCCCGCCGGCCAAGAGGGGCCATGTCGGGTCCCGTGCTCTGCCCCAGCTGGCTCGTTGGGGCGCAGAGACCCCCGGCAGGGCTGGGACCCCCGAGCTCCCTGGTGTCTGAGCTCCCCTTGTGGAGGCAGTGGGGCTCCCGGACACCTGGGTTCAGCCCAGCTGTGTGGTCTGCGGGAGGCCTCGGAGGGGGGCCGCACCTCTCCTCTGCGCTCCCCCTCAGCTCTTCAGGCCTGTCTAGCGCAGAGCCCGGCGAGCACCGGCGAGGCCGTGAAGGCGAATTTGGTGACACTGGCACCAAGGGGCAGTCAGGGCCGTGACGCTGCCTGCTCCGTCACCCCCCACCCCCCTCCCATGCGTGCCCCGCGCAGGGCTGAGGGTGCTCGGCCGCGAGGCAGCTGTGATTCCAGCCACGGCCACCAGGCGTCACGGTAGGTCCACAGCAGGCCCCGAGCCCTGCAGCTGGCTCCCTTGGGTGCTGCCCAGGCTGGGTCTGGGGGTCCCGGCCAGAGGGGCAGGAGAAGCTAGCCAGCACCACGCCGTGTGACAAGAGTGCAGTGTGCCATGGGGCTGAGTAGGAGCAACACCTCCCTCTACCCCATGGGGCTGGTTCGGGGCCTCGTGGGCTTGGCATGCTTGGGGGGCGAAAGGATGTGCAGAGTGGGTGCCCCCTGCTCCCCCAGGGGGGGGTTCAATAATCTGATGAGGTTCAATAAGGATAAGTGCAGGGTCCTGCACTTAGGACGGAAGAATCCCAATGCACAGCTACAGACTAGGGACCGAATGGCTCGGCAGCAGTTCTGCGGAAAAGGACCTAGGGGTGACAGTGGACGAGAAGCTGGATATGAGTCAGCAGTGTGCCCTTGTTGCCAAGAAGGCCAATGGCATTTTGGGATGTATAAGTAAGGGCATAGCGAGCAGATTGAGGGACGTGATCGTTCCCCTCTATTCGACATTGGTGAGGCCTCATCTGGAGTACTGTGTCCAGTTTTGGGCCCCACACTACAAGAAGGACGTGGATAAATTGGAGAGAGTCCAGCGAAGGGCAACAAAAATGATTAGGGGTCTGGAACACATGACTTATGAGGAGAGGCTGAGGGAGCTGGGATTGTTTAGCCTGCAGAAGAGAAGAATGAGGGGGGATTTGATAGCTGCTTTCAACTACCTGAGAGGTGGTTCCAAAGAGGATGGAGCTAGACTGTTCTCAGTGGTAGAAGAGGACAGGACAAGGAGTAATGGTCTCATATTGCAGTGGGGGAGGTTTAGGTTGGATATTAGGAAAAACTTTTTCCCTAGGAGGGTGGTGAAACACTGGAATGCGTTACCTAGGGAGGTGGTAGAATCTCCTTCCTCAGAGGTTTTTAAGGTCAGGCTTGACAAAGCCCTGGCTGGGATGATTTAACTGGGAATTGGTCCTGCTTTGAGCAGGGGGTTGGACTAGATGACCTTCTGGGGTCCCTTCCAACCCTGATATTCTATGATTCTATGATTCTATGTTACCATAGTAACCTTCCTCACTTGGAGGGCAGGCTCCCTTTCTCTTGGGCTGGGGGGTCTCAGAGTCTCTGTGGCCACAGCACCCCCCCCGACCTCCAGCCCCCGCCATGGGCCTGCTGCTCTGTGGGGTGGGGGCATGTGACCCACACAGAGCCTGGGGCCTGGCAAGTGCTGGCAGGAGAATGGCTGGGGGCAGGACACGGCCCTGGGTGCAGGTGGGCCTTAGGGGGTCGCTCTTTTCTTGGGTATTGTCTCCGCTTTGCCTAGGCAGCCTGCTGGGTGCTGCCCCCCCGCCCTGGGCTGGGCTGGGCCCCAGGGGCCAGGCTGTGTGCCTGGCGATGGGGCCACCCAGGCCTCTGTCCAGCCCCCATGGCTGGGCTGTAAGACAGTGACTGGCTGCCCGGGGTCGCCCGGGCCCATCCCCACTGCGCTCTGCTGCTAACCGGGCTTCTCGCAATACACTGGGGAGCGACCGTCAGGAATGTCCTGAGCCAGGGCGGCTGCTGCCCCAATAAACTGCCCCCCCACCCCACGCTGGCTGACGCCTCCTTCCTCACTAGGGCTCGCTGGGCTGGGCCAGGCTGGGGGCAGGGCAGGCTAGGCTGGGTGGAGGGCTGGGCCGAGCCGGGCCAGGGGAAAGGAGGGTTCCCAGCAGATGGTGCATCCTGCCCTGTGGAAAAGTCAAATGCAGTTGTAGGTTGCATTAACAGAGGCCCCCATGCAAGTCACGGGAGGCGATAGCCGCGCTCTACTTGGCGCTGGTCAGGCCGCAGCCGGAGGCCTGTGTCCAGTTTTGGTCACCACTATCTAGAAAGGATGTGGAGAAACTGGAAAGGATCCCGAGGCGAGCGACCGAGATGATCAAAGGGCTGGAATGCAGCCATCTGAGCAAAGGCGGCAGGGCCCGGGTCCCTGAGTTTGGAAAAGGGGAGCTGGGGGGATAGGATAGCAGGCTTCAGACACGGGAAAGGCTGCAGTAGGAAAGATGGGGAAAGTTGCTCCCTTTTGCCACCGAGGGCAGGACAAGGGGTGACGGGGTCAAGTATGAATCCTGCAGCGTGGCAGGGGTCGGCAGCTGACCCCTAGGGTCCCTTCTGACCCCGTGGGGCAGCGCGGGGGGGGGCGATGCACACTGCTGCAGTGACGGCTTCTCACCACACGAGGGCGCCCCTGACCAGCTTTTGTCCGTGCCCGGCTGCCTTGGTGCGCCCCGGGCCGTGCCCCAGCTCCAGGGTCTCCCGCGGCCCCCCCGGGTGCCCCGGCAGCTGCCCCCAGAGGGGGGGGCAGGGAGCTGGAGGCAGAGCAGGCTCCTGCGGCACCCCCCAGGCAAGGACCCACCCCAGGGCCTGGAGACTGGCCAGTGCCTAGGGGGGTCCCAGAATGCTGGGCTGAAGATGGGGGGCTTGATTTCCCCCCCACCCCAGGTGCAGTCGGACCCGCCAGCTCCAGCCCATGTGGCTGCTGGCTGAGATCCAGGGGCTGACCCGCGCTGGGAGGGGAGCCAGTGGGCTGAGCAGGGGACTCCCCCTACTGCTTAGGGCCTCCAGTGACCCCCAGGAGCCCGGAGCAACCGTTTCCCCTGCCCGCCGTAACCAGCTGGGCGGGAGAGGAGACGCTGGGCAATGACCCAGGCTTGCCCGCACGCCCGGCTTCCCTGGAGACCTGCTCTGGGCCACCCCGGCACAGTCTGGGCAGCTGGACCCCAGTGGGGGCCTGGCCGGCCCTGGGGTGTCTGACGGGCCCTGCCAGTCCCACCCAGGCACCAGCCGCCCCGGGATACTGCCAGCTCCTCTGAATGGGAGCGTATTGGGCTGGGCTGGCAGCTCAGTGGGGTGGAGCACCGTGCCCACCCTCGCCCTGTCAACACGGCCCAGTCAGTCCTGGGCGCCTCTGGTTGTGGGCAGCAACCCCATGTCCCAGCCCCCGGCCTGGCCTTGGCGCCCTTCCCTGGCGGCAGCTCGGCACGAATGCTGAAGAGGGAGCAGCAGACGGGACCATGTGTGGATGGGAGCCGAGGCAGCACGTGCTGCCGGCTCTGGAGGGCGGGCACGGCCCAGTGCCAACTGCACAAATGAGTCCAGAGCACCTGGCAGCAAGCGCTCTGGGGAGCTGGCACCTCGCACGCTCACATGCATTCTCGCACGCTCAGCAATGGGGACCAAGCACCCTGGGGATGACGGGAGCCAGTCTCCTGGCACATGGGCAGGGATGGGCATGGGGTGAGCGGGCGGGCAGAGGCCAGCGGCCTGGGTTCTACTAGTGACTGCCACCGACTCACTGTCTTACCCCTTGCTGAGTCCCTCCTGCCCAGTGCCCCATCCCCCTTTTCCGAGCGGGAGTCGGGCTGCCCGTGGGGCAGGCTGGGCTCCGGGGGAGGCTGCTGGACTGGGGCTGGGCATGACGAGGTGGGTGAAGGCTCCGGAAGGGACGGGCGCTGCTGGCTGGCAGGTCGCGCTGCCCTCTCCGGCTCTGCAGCAGCCCATGCTGGGCTGGCTCTGGGGAACGTGCCCAGCCCTGTGAGGGCCTGATTCCAGCTCTGCCCGCAACGCCAGGCCCGGCCCTGGGGCCCCCGCCTGCCCGTGGGGCACCTGGCCACGTTGTCTCAGCTGCAGCCTGCACTGCCATCTGTCTCTCGCCACTGTGCAGCCGTCCGCTCCGCCAGGGTCACCTTGGCCGCCACGCTGGCAGGGCTGGAGCCCAGCCAAGAGCTCCCCAGCCCCTCCCCCAGCCCCGCTGCCCCCCCGGCGCTGGCTGGCTGGCTGCCAGCCCCCCGCAGCCGTCACATGCTGTTTGTTCTCCCTCTGCCGCTGTGATTGATGGGCTGAGGCTTAGAATAAAGGACAGGTCCCCCCACGCTGCCATGCTCGGCTGGGCCGGGCGACGGGCAGCACCGTGCCCGCAGGACCAGCGTGGGCGGGGGCTGCTGGGGCAGGGTGCAGCGCAGACCCCGGGGAGGCGCCAGGCTGTTGTGCCGCTGGGGCTCTGTGTTTGAGATGAGAAGAGACCCAGGGGCCCGCGTGTTCGGTGACAGGACTCCGGCCCGTTCCGCAGGGCTCGGGCGTTCAGTTCGGCACCCGGGCTGGGGACCTGCCCTGCAGGGGGCTCAGCTGGGGCTTGGGGCCTGGGCAGGGCCACTGTGCTGGGATGTGGCTGCTCTGCTCCCCCACAGAGGTGGCTGCAGGGCTGCAGAAAGCACGTGGCAGATGGGCCTGGGGCCCTAGAAATGGAAGAGTTGGGGGGTTCCCCCCGGGGCTGGGAGTGCAAATGGCTGGGTGCTGTGCCTAGAGCAATCAATGTATCAGCTATGGCACCTGGTGAACAGGTGACTAAATAAACCGGCCGCTCCCGAAAGCCCCCCCCCCCGATTCGAATCCCCCCTCCCAAAGACCGGAGCTGCGATCAGTCCCAGTGCCCACCCCGCTGCCTGTGCCCAGCTGCTCCCAGCCCGGCTCACTAGCCATGTGGCTACTAGCCCAGGGCACCCTGCATGGCACCCAGCCCCCGCCCCAGCCACGCTCTAACTGGGCTTGCCTCAAATGCCAACGGCTCACCACACGGGCCCACCGTGCCCCCAAAACTGCCCCTCACAGCCGACCCCCTGCACAGACACCTCCGGCCTACTGAGCTCTCTGCATTTCCAATTAAAGCAAAGACCCCCCCCTTCCCACGCACAGCTTGGCTCCCACCCTCACCTCCATGCACACAACCCTGCCCCAAGCCTCCACCCGCATCCCCTCCCCCATGCTGCTGCAGAGCCCAGGGTGCCAGAGGCCGAGGAGATGCTGCCAGACCAGCCCCATGCTCGTAGAGGCGCCCCTTTCCTCGCTGACTATCTGCCTGGCAGGTCCTTCCGCCCCCTGCCATGCCCCACGGCCTGCGAGCTCCAAGGGCCTGAGGAGAAAGGCTGGCTTTGGGGGTCATCTGGTCCCACTCCCTCTGCCCAGTGCGGGCAGGTCTGCAAACAAGCCCAGCAGCACCAGCGCCCCTGAATTGCTGGGAAGTGGGACCCTGAGTTCTGGGACCCAGCCCCCCTGCCCTGCCCTGCCCCGCCCCGCCCTGCCCCCAGCTCCCCAAGGTGTGAGGGGTTAACTCAGGCCTGGGAATCAGCTAACTGCTGTGGACTCTGGTGGGTGGGCCATGCCTGGGGGGAAATCCCGCCCAGCTGTGGCCAGGAAAGAGCTGAGTGGGGCAGCTGGAGCTGCTCTGGGGCATGGTGGGCTGGAGAGTCAGGGAAGCAGCCAGCCCGCCTGGAAGGGAGCTGGGCAAGAGCCGCTGGAGGACGATGGCTGCCTAGAGAGGAGGAAGGTTGGTGCCAGCCCTGGCAGTGCCCCACAGATCTGTGGGTAGTTGTGAAGGGGGTGTGGGAGCCAGGAGCTGGGGGATTGGTTAACGGACCCTGTGTGTTATGCAGACAAAACCACACAGGATCGTTTCAGGGGACAAGACAAGGTGTCACGTTTATTATACCACAATTGGATTTATGACCAATGACTAATATCTAATACCTGTGTGTACACCCCCCTGCGCCCCCCCCCCCCCAAATGTTCTGCAGCTGCTGTATAGTTACCAGTCCTGAACGTAGCTCATGGCGGCTCACTGGCCAGGAAAGTCAGGCACAAGGGAGGGCTGGGGCTCTGTGGGGCGCACACTGAGGCCCTTCCATGTTGGCAGCAGAATGTTACTCTCCAAAATCTTCCATCTCCCCAATCCTTTTCGTAGGCTTCAGTTTGAATCCAGAGTCTCCAGGTCTTGCTGTGTCAGGCTGTCTCTCGGTCCGGTGTGACTGATCCTCCCTCAACTGCAGACGTGACTTTCCGCCTGGGACCTGGCTCTGATGTTTCTTCAATTGTACTTTTGTCCTTTTCTTTTGAGGGTGGGCTCCTCTTGCTTTGTCAGGGCTGCTGTCTGCATCTTCAGCCCTTGGGTGTTTACACTTTATTTCATCAGGACAGGCTGGGGCTGGAGGTTGATTCTATCATCCATCCATCCCTCATTCCCACATCGAAACTACACTCATCAGATTACAGCCGGGTTTAGCAAAATGGAGTGAGCGTTTTAAAATGGACAGGTGTAAAGAACGGCAAACAGGGAGCAGAAGTTACAGTGTTGAGGCCGTGCAAGTTTCAGTGATTTAAGCAGCAATTGGATTGAAAGTGAAACTCAATTAGCCAGTTCTTGGGGCAACCGGTTTTATGAATGAATGTTGTTTCATTCATAAAACTTTGCTTATGAAGTTATATTAATAAAGTGAACAATTAAAAACAATGTCATGTATTCGTTCTACCTGTGGCCTCAGCAGGGCCCGACTGGAAGTTGTCCTGGCTGCAGGGTTGGGTCACTTGTGGCTGAAACAGTCCAAGTATGTGGGGAAGGGTCCCGGGGGAACTTGGCAGGGCAGGGAAGAGCTGCTAACCGGTGTGTAGCCCATAGCTTCTATCTGCCGCTGCGCCGGGAGCTCATGTGATGGCTCGGGAGGTGATCCCTCAGGGAGTCCACTCGCTCTGGACCCCTGGGGCCTCCACCCCCCGAAGGGGATGATGCCACCCTGATCTCTAGACCGGAGTGACTCTCAGCCAGCGTAAAACAGGAGGGTTTATTGAGCGTTGAACCCAGCACAGGAAACTCTCAGGGCCTCAGGCCTTGCCTCCCTCAACACAGCACATCCCAGTCTCCCCTGCACCCAGGGGGGCTCTGCCTGCCCCCTCCCTCCAGCCCAGAGCCCCCCTGCTTCCCAACTGGGCCTCTGATATCACCGGCCCCAAGCCCCCCCTCCCCCCATTGTCTTCTCTGCAGGTAAACAGGGTTGTAAACAGGGTTGCCTGGGCCTCCTCTCCTCTCCTCGCAGCCCATTGTCCTCCCACTGGCCAGACCCGGCTGGGCCTCCCGAGCTGGGCCACCAGGTCACCAGCTGGGGTCTCCATTCTCCACGCCAGTGGTTGGGCTCCCAAGTTCGGTCCTGTGTCCCAACAAACTCCCTCTCCCCTCACCTCGTTAAACCCGTAGCACCCAGGGAAACTGAGTCCCACCCCCTCTGCATGCAAACCATAGGAAAAACAAGAAAATCCCCCATAGGAAACAAGGGAAAACAAGAAACTCCCCCACTTCATCACTCCCCCTCCCTGCTGTAAGAAAAGGAGGACTTGTGGCACCTTAGAGACTAACCCATTTATTTGAGCATGAGCTTTCGTGAGCTACAGCTCACTTCATCAGATGCATACTGTGGAAACTGCAGCAGACTTTATATACACACAGAGAATCTGAAACAATACCTCCTCCCACCCCACTGTCCTGCTGGTAATAGCTTATCTAAAGTGATCAACAGGTGGGCCATTTCCAGCACAAATCCAGGTTTTCTCACCCTCCACCCCCCCACACAAATTCACTCTCCTGCTGGTGTGGTCTCTGGCTGTCCCCTGCCCGCAGCTGCAGCCACCTTCTGCCGTGCACCTGTGCAAGCACCTGCCCCTGCCCCTGCTGCCACCCCCAGGGCATCTCAGCCACCTCCGTGAGACACGGAAAATGTCTCCTCCTTGGCGTGGCCCCCAGGCCCCGCATGGAGCCTCGAAGCAGGAGCTGCTGGCTTGGGCCATGTGCGACGCCCTCACCCCATGTGGAGCCAAACCCCCTGGCCCTCAGCGTCAGCTACAGGGGGCCACCATGCACATCCCCCCAGTGGGGTCAGGTGCACAGAGCCCTGGGCCGTGGGGCTGGCACTGGCTGCCCTGCAGGTGGGGGGATGGGGCAATGGGCCGGGCCACTCTCAGCCCTGTATGTGGAGTGTCGGCGTGGGGCACGGATGGGGTGATGGCTGCTCCCCCCCAGCCTGCTTCTCATGAGGGTGGGGATGGGTTCAGGCTGCCCAGGGACTCGGGCAGGGCTGAACCGTGCCCCAGCGAGAAGGCTCCGGCCCTGCGGGGACCAGGCATGGGGCACTAAGGGAGCGTTCCTGGGGCCGGCAGTCTCCGGCCCCGCTGCAGGAGCAAGCATGGGGAGCGTCTCAGCCAAGCTGGCTCTGCCCTGCTGCTCTCTGAGGACCCAGGCTGGACGTGGCCTTCGGGGTCACAAGGGAGAGGAGTTGGCTGTTCTCAGCTTGCTCCCTGCTGGGGGCTTGGCTGCGTCACCGGACACTGAGCTGTTCTGGCAGTGTGGTGCCTGTGAATGGATACGGGGGGCTCTGTGGGGCGGGAGGCAGTGGCTCCCCGGGGGCTGGGGTGACACTTTCAGGTGACTCGGCCGATGACTCCTGGTCTCTCAGTGGCCCGGGAACCCACCGGCTCGTTACCGGAGCAGCAGGCGGAGTGCGGCGTCAGTCATGCCCCCCCCGGTCTGCGCTGCCTGGAGGACCCGAGTGCTCTGCTCACAGGGGAGGGGTCCTGTGCCCACCACTGCACAGGCCTGGCTCCCCTGCTCGGCGGGTGAAGGTGCCAGGCGGAGCAGGAGCTGGGGCGGCCTCGCTGCTGGCCGCGGGTGGTGCAGGGAGGGGCTGGTCAGTTTCTGGCCAGGCAGAGTTGGGCACCCAAGCCCTGGGGCATGGCAGAGGCACCATGTGCCCTGGACAGCAGCACTGACCGATCACCACTCGCCACTCCCGCTCTGCCCATCTCTGCCTGCCTGGGGATTCCTGGCAGGCAGCAGGTGCCCTCGAGCCAGTGCCCAGGTCAGGGGGTCGGCCAGGCCTGCGCTGAGCTCTTCTTCCCAGCCTGGTGCTCTGCCCTGCCCCATCCCCACTGGCGGGGTGGGTTCATTCTGCACCCGCAGCCCCTCCATGGGGCTAGAGAGCATTAGCATCCCCTCCTGCCCTGCCCCCCAGGGTCTCTGTGGGGAGGCTGTCGAGCCCCCAGCCCCTCCCGCTCCATAGCATGTGCAGCACTGCCTGCACGGAAGGGGAGGCCCCTGGGTGCCGAGCTGGGGGCTCCGGCTCCATCAGTGAATGGCTAACACTGTGCGTGGAGCAGGGGAGGGAGCAGGGCAGCTCAGCTTCCTCTGGGGCTGTGTCTCGGGCTGCTCAGCCCCAGGTTGTAGGTCCCCAGGCCATGGTGCTGAGGACATGGCCCTGCTGCGTTAATGCAGGCAGCTGGTTCAGTAACAAGAAGTTGCCATGAAGTGCCAGGGCCGGCCCAGTGGGAGGGGGTAGCTGGACAAAGGGAACTGTTATTATGGGCCCCTATGTGTGCCTCAGTTTCCCCGTGATGTTGCATTGCTATGAGGGAAGGGGGCTAAGTCCCCTCCCGGTCTGGGGTTGGACAGGCTCACTAAGGAACTGGCTGAAACTGACCCAGATCAGCAGAGGCCAGAGAGACAAGGCCCTGGATCAAGGCCCCCAGCGAGGGAGCAAAGGCCTGGGAGGTGTGGGGGGTCCGCGCCGGCTTGTGCAGGAACTGGGAGCTCTCCGCAGGGGCTGGCGAAGGGCAGGGCCTGCAAATGGATGGAGCTCTCGCCAGCTCGGCTTCGGGCGTTGCTCTGGGCTGGCCAGGCTGGGCCGTGCTTTGACCTTCCTTTTCGGGGCTCTTCTCAGGACTCCTGCTCTGTGCCTGCTGCTGGGCGACCCCCGGCTCTGCCCACGCTCCCTGGCTGCAGGGAGAAGGGACGTTCCCTAACTTGCCAGCACTTGACTGCGGGACCGACTTTCCCTTGCCCTCGTGCGGCGGGTCGGTATTTACTGACAGCTGGGCAGGCCCGGCCGGCTCGGGCACTGGGTGGGCGCAGTGCCGTGCAGGGGCAGATGCGGGGTCTCCTGCAGCACCGCGGGATGGGGTGGGGGGCAGGGAGCAGCCCAGCCTGTGCCGAGTGACGCGCCAGCCCGCGGTGCAGCTAATCCCGTCCGCAGGGAGAGTTTCCGCAGCTCTTTTCAGTGCCCGGCGCCCGGGCCACGTCTCGGCGTCTGTTTTGTTCAGGAGTAAACACGCGGCTGCCCCTCCTCTGCTCAAAGGCCCCTTGGTGCAGGGGCGAGGGCCATCAGCCACTCTCCGCTCGCCGCCTGCAAACGGTGCGGCCACGCAGCACTTCCCACTCGCTGCGCTTCGCCCGCATGGGGCTCACGGCCACACAGGGCAGCGCCGCCAGCCCCAGGACTCGCCCTGCCCCATGCTCCCCCAACACCTGTGAGCCTGGGGAGCCTCCTGCACGGAGCCCCCTTGGCTGCATCCCCGGAGGGACAGGCCCTGGCCACCCCCCACCCCGGGGGCCCTCCCCACCCGGTGCCGTTCTAGGCTAAGCAGCCCCTGGAGAGAGAGGCCCTGGACTGAGCGAGCTGCCCCCCTCCAGCGGGCGCTCCAGGGACAGGCCCAGCGAGGTGGGGGCAGAGTCCAGCTGCGGGCTGCAAAGTGTCTTGCGGTGGCTGGTCGGGGGTTCAGGAGATGTTGCCATAACCCCACTGGCCGGCACCGCAGCGCCGCTCCCAAGGCAGGCAGCTCACCCCGGGCCCATTAATGGCAGCGTTCCTGCCTGCCAGAGCCATCGGGCAGCTCTCATTGGGCCCTGCTTGGGGTGTCGCACGGCAGGGCGGGCATGGACACTCGCTGGGCTCCTCTCTTGTAACCTGCCGCCGTCCGGGGCGAGGGGTCCCCAGCTCTGGGCGCTGCCCTGGTGGGTGATTCCCGCTGGGCCTGTCTCCCCTGGAGCCCCTGTGCCTCTCACTCCGGGGCTGGGCACTGGACCCCGGGGGGAGTTGGAACGGGGCGACCTCGGCCCCCCAGCCCCGAGCGCTGGGGCCCGGCTGCCCCCTTGTGCTGGGCGTGTGCTAGGTGAGCCCCCAGCCCAGCCCCACTCAGCCCAGCAGGGCCCCTGTCCGGCGTGGGGCTGCCC